CTGGCTTCTGTGCTTCACTTGGAGGTCATGGGTCTTCCTAAACCCCAAACCATAAACCCTAAAACCTGAACCCTAAACCCTAAACCCCAGGAGTGGATCATTCGCTTCGGAGCCTTTCGTCGGAAGTGCGATTGCGTGAAGGTGCGCAAGCTGTTGAAAGCAGTGAGGGTCTAGGGTTTATAGGGTCTAAGGGCGGGACTCGAAGCATCGCCTAAACCTAAACCCTAAACATTGTAGAAAACCCAACGTCTGCTGCTCTGAGGTCTACAGCTTCTACCTGCAATGCTAAGCCCTCATTCCTATTCCTTTGTGATCAACAAGCACTGTGCATGAGCACTAGCCGCCATCCTCATGTTAATTATTCTTCTCCTTCTCTGTACGTTTGTAAGTAGTGTATTGATACCTATGTTTTACATGTGCGAGAGCGTGATACTTATTACTTGGCTTTTCATGTCGAAGTTAGAAGGCATTCGATTGCAATAAGTTACCCTGAAAGGAGAGCCCCCCCCCCCCCCCCCCAATGCTTCGATGGCATTTTGGCATTGTGTGCTTGATGTATGGCCTTCTGGGCGAAAATGATTCCTCCATAGCTCTACAGCAAACTCCAGAAACTTGGAGCATGGTTTAAGGATGATTCGAGCCGGCATTCCCTTTAGCATACCTTTCGGGCTTGGGGATAAGGACCTTTTTGGAGTTACTGTAGACACGGCATGTCATGGCTTCGGCAGGACTATTGGTTCCTGTTTGACAGCTTCTTGCTGCTCCTCATGATCGGGGAGACCTGGGCCACTGTCCGAGCATGGTGCGAAGAGTTTCAGTGGATTGAAGCCCCTAAGCCCTAAACCCTAAACCCTAAACCCCAAAACCTTACGGCAACCCAAACACCAAGCCCTAGACCCCCAAACCCCAAAACTCCTAAGCACCTCTTCCCCCCCCCCCCAACTATCCTTGAAGTAGGTTTGGGGGTTTACTACGATAGGGGACCCCCAATATAGACCCCCAAATAATTCGCAGGATCCCCTGAATAAGGACCCCCCCCCCCCATTCAGCAGATTTGTGTTGCAAGCAATTCTAAACGGCTCACAGCTGCGAGTGTCGAGTTTCGGGGGCTGCTTGGGCTTAGGCTTGGGGTTAGGCGAGAGACGGTCGGAAGCAGCAGTAGCCAAGCTACGCCGAGATCTCAAGACCCTTTAAACGTTTAGGGGTTGGAAAGTCACCGAATTGTGTGGCACAGAACAGAGTTGACAAGCTGCCAGCGCATACAGTACAAAAGCTCAACCCGGTTGTTCTGAATGGCAGGGGCCTCTAGAGCCCTGAAGGTTTAGGGTTTGCCCGCAGTGAATGTGAGGACGGATTTGGGGCGGGAATGTTTTTCTTTGTTTTTCGTGTAGCACGACGATGCGGTTTAGGGCTTTAGTACAGGTTAGAAGGAGTCCCCACAACTTGATCTGATATGGTTTGCGAGAGCCTGGCAAGGTTCAGGGTATGGGTTTAGCACTCCCGCGAAAATTCAGAGCAAACACAAAAACTCCTGTGATTGAGGCATTGCCGCTTTGGCTGATTCTTTCTGGCGCGGCCCTTACACGAAAACGACATCACCAAACCCTAAAACCTCAACCCATACGAGCCCTAACCACCCAATCCCCCCCCCCCCCAACCTTGCGTTCTCCCCAAACCCTCAACCCTAAACCCGTCAAGCTGCAAGAGAGTCCGCCCCATGAAGTTCGTGCTACGAAGAAGCTGGGTCTAGGCATTGTGGGGTCTAGTGTGTGGGATTTTAAGGTTGAGGTTTCTCAAGTCAAAAGCCCTGAATCCTAAACCGGAAGGGGGCTAAGGAATTGATGAACTAGGTATGTCTGCGGGATGTGTTTTCTTTTTGTTGTTGTTTGCGCTTGTTCGATTTAAGAGTTCAAGGCGGGGTGTAGCCTATTTCAGTATTCCGACCCTCCTCCCTCAACCCCTGGACCGCGAACGCCCCCATGACCTAGAGCTTTCAACGCACCCAAAACCCAAGCACAAACCCTAAGCCGCCCAAAAGCAACATTGGCACCAACCCAATTAAATCAGAAACCATGTCTCTGGCATGACCTAAAAGCAAGAAACCCTAAACCCAAAACCCTAAAGCCCAAACCCACCTCGCTCTTAACCGAAACAGGTACCGGCGCGGCCGGCTTTAGCGGTGAGAGCTCCATTCTCCTCCGCGTGCTCCAAGTGCCACTGGGAGTCTGAAAAGTCATGGCTTGTCGGCGGGCTTGTGACGGACTGGTGTGGCGGTTTCTTGTGCTTCAATGCGACGCAACTCTGAAGGCGTCAAGGTGTTTATCTCGGCAGTACAAGTAGATACGTTCAAAGGTCTCCATGCTAATGCTACCCAACAGTAGCTTGCCTAAACCCGAAACCTAAACCCCCTATGCCCCGAACCCCCCTAAACGGTAAACCCCAGGCCCTTGATCGCTAAAACCTTTCTGGAGATGCCTTGTTGACCAGAATTATTGTACACAGTGGTAGGAAGCATACAGTATACTTATTGTCAGCTTTGACTTCAGGTAAACCCTAACCGGTACATCCTAAACTCATGACCATTAATCCCCAAACCCTAAATTCTCACCTCCTAAACACGAACAACCTAAACCCCTAAACCCTAAACCCTGAACAATGACCCCAAAACCTAAACCCCAAACCCTAAGCCCTAAACCCTAAACCCTAAACACCACTATACCATCGCCTTCCTACAAACCGAGGTGTCGCTTGTTGCGGCTGGCGCGCATGGCCAGGACTGAGCTGCTGCCAGGGTTTAGGGTTTAGGGTTTGGGGTTTACCCTAAACCCTAAACCCTAACCCCTAAACCCTAAACCCTAAACCTTAGATGATTCCAAGAGCTGGGCTGCAAAGGATGCTGCGATCCATCTCTGAGCTGATGATCCTGATCAAGGCACAGGGGGTTCAGGGGCTTTAGGGTTTGGGGTTTAGGGTTTAGGAATAGGGCTGAGGGTTCTGGTCGTTTTTGACTTGGGTTTGGGATTTTGGGCAATGAAGGGGATCTTTCTACTGTAGGCGGTTCAGGCAACCTATTCTAGGGGTTCGGGATTTAGGCCGTTGCTTTGGGGGCTTAGGGTTTAGGAGTTAGGGTTTAGGTTTCGAAGTTTGAGAGTTTAACTCTCAATACGCCCCATTAAGCCCTAAGCAAACGCCTGAACACCCGAAAAGCCCTCAAATCGGTGGGCGACCATCCCAACTACTCAAGAGTGACCGAACTCAAGCTCTGAAGTGTCGTGAGTTTAGTAGGGGTTTCGGGTTTAGGGTTTAGGGTTAGGGTTTAGGGTTTAGGGTTTAGGGGTTCGGGTTTCGGGTTTTGGTCACGGGTCGCTTCTGTCAACAAAGGGTGCTAGGGGCTCCTGCGGCCCTAAATTTGAACTCCCAATTCCAAAAACCTTAATCCGTAAAACTTAAGCCAGAATCCCAAAACCTCGAACCCCAAATACCTTCAACTTAAGCCAGAAACTGCAAACGTTCAACCCCCATTGCAACCCCTAACACTTAAATCCCAAGCGCCCCACCTTGCAAGGCCCGTAAACCTTGAAGCTTTACCCCTGAAAGCCCTAAACTTTACCTTGAAACCACGTTGAACTCCCCCGCCCCCCCCTCAAAAAAAAACATGCTAAGAAGCAGCTCCAACAACACCCTAAACTCTAAAGTCCCAAGGGCATGGCGGCAGCTGGACGGTCTGTCTTCTTCGTGATGTGCCTTCTGGTAGGGCCGTCTTTGCTGTTTTTTTTTTTTTTTTTCGGGGGGAGGGGGGGGGAGGGGGGGTGGGGTGGGTGGGGGGGGGGGGGGGGGGAGCGGTTGGGTCCAGGGTTAGGGTTTAGGTTTTAGGGTCTTCGAGGGTTGAGGGTCTAGGTTTAGGGCTTAGGGTGGGGGGGGGGAGGGAGGAGGGAGGATTGGGGGAGAGGAGGGAGGATTGGGGGAGAGGAGGGTAAGGGGGGTCGAGCAATTTTTATGTGAAGTGAAGCTCGGTCTGAGTGGTCCTTCATTATGGGCCCTTAATCGTGCAAACCCCGTATACCTCTCATATACCCCACAACACACATTGGGGGGCCATGATTAAACTTTGTTCATGAGATACAAATGCGGCGTGTGCCGCGCCTTAGCAGTTTCTGATTCTCTAATCGCAAGGCTTGAACCATCTGTGACACGAAGCCCTCAGCCATGAGACCCTACCTAAAAACCCTAACGAACCCTAAAACCTAAACCCTAAACCTTCTCAACCCTGGGCCCATAAGGAACTGTAGTGGTACAATGTTGGTTCGCACGTGTGTCTAGGGTATGGCCCTACAGGCTTTCTGGTTCCGGACCTGTTTCGTCTGACTGAAGAGCCGGCCCGGCGCCTAAACCCTAAACCCTAAACCCTAAACCCTAAACCCTAAACCCTAAACCCCTAAACCCTAGACCCCAAACCCCAAACCCTAAACCCTAAACCCTAAACCCCTAAACCCCTAAACCCCAGACGACCCTGGACCCTAGACCCTAAACTCAACCGATGGAGGGTGGCAGGCAGGAGTAGACCCCAGCGGCTGAAACCCTAAACCCTAAACCCTAAACCCTAAACCCTAAACCCTAAACCCTAAACCCTCAACACAAAAAGGCACCTTCCCTACTTCACAAGACGCTTCAGCCCGCCTTCCCGCCATCCTGTCATTCGGCTCAACAGTGCAAAAGAGGGGGCGGGGTGTCCTGAAGGACCCCCCCTATGGGTGTGGTTGAATCTGGGTGGGTTAGAGTTAGAGTGGACTTAGGGTGGGTTGGTGGACTTAGGGTGGGGTTAGTTGAAGGCTATGCAGCCTTCTCACACACACCAACTTGGGACTTATGAGGGCACACGCTGTCAGGGGCCTCGCCCCACTTAAGAACTCCACAGCACTCCACAGCAAGAGGAGTTGAGAGCGTACAGCCTTTTGCCGGGCCCGGCCCTTCGAAACCGAAGAGGTCAATAGCCATCAGCCATGTCGTCCATGGTGATGCCGGCGCTTTTGTCCCTGCTGTTTGCGCTGTCATTCCTCTTCTTTGCATACATCCAGCAAACAGAAGTTTCGGCCGACATGTTTCGAGCGGCCAGCGAGCGATTCGTGAACTCGCCCTGGCAGAACAACCCTAGGAGGACAATCCACGACGTGCGCGGAGGATCGGACGTCTACAAGTGGGTACAACAGGTCTTCCTGAACCAGCTCTACATGGAGCTGCCCGCAGATGGTGCGCCCGAAGGAAACATGGCGTCCTAAAGCAAGGATGTTGCAGTTTCCCTACCTTTGAACCCAGAAGATCTGCATACACCATCTTCAACCCACCAAGGCTTCCAAACCAGCTGTAGGGTTTAGGGTTGAGGGTTTAGGGTTCAGGGTTTAGGGTTCAGGGCAATGGAGAACCAAGGCTACTGCACCGCAACCTACCCCTGCAGACTGAGTGAAGGCAATGTGAACCACAAGGATGAATGTTCCTTGGGCGTACTGTAGTATCGATACTAGGCCTCATCGTCCCTTGTATGTTCAACATGTACTGCACTCTAGATACTTCACGAGGCATCTCTCTCTCTCTCTCTCCTACTATTTATTAAGCTTTAAGACCATAGGGATTTCTTGGAAGTAAGGTTTGGGATGTTCCCCCCTTAAAATAACAGGTCCTTAACAAGGATTCTAGTACCCCCTGTATTTCGTTTTCATTTTTTTTATGGGAGTTTAAGGTGTAGGGCTTCGGGATGAACCCTAGACCCTAAACCCTAAACCCTAGACCCTAAACCCTAGACCCTAAACCCTAAACCCTAAACCCTAAACCCTAAACCCTTGCCTTAAACGCTAGCCCTAAAGCCTACTGATCTGATCATGCTTCCCGGCCCCTCTGCGAGCCGAGGTTCAGGGCCCCTGATTCCGGGGGACCGGAACCTTACCTCTCATAGTTGCGGCTTTTGGGGTTTAGGATGTAGGGTTTTTTGGGTTTAGGTGTTTTTTGCTTGGGTTCTGTTTGTTTTGGTGCAATTTTGAAAGTTGAAGCTTTGAATCCCTGGGGGTAGTGGGGAAGTCAGGAACTGCCCATCACGCTTGGGGGTTCGGGCGAGCTGCTGTCAGCAGTGTGTCGGCACCACCTGCCCTGAGCACTCCGTTCCCACGAGGCGCCTTTGCCGCATCGCGGATGATGATGATGATAATGATGAAATTGGGGAGGAGGAGGGCAGTCACGATGACAAAGATGACGAGGACAGTTGTGGTTTCGGACGGTTGCGACGGCGACGGCGACGACGACGACGACGGCCCGATGACAACGATGATCATCAAGACTGTGATGGTGCTGTTGCTAGGGAGGAGGGGAGATGGAGGGAAGGGGAGCGGGAGGATGACGATGAGGATGATCAGGATAATGATGATGATGATGATGATGATGATGATGAGTATGAGAAACCCTAAGGGTTTAGGGTTTAGGATTCAGGGTTCAGGGTTTAGGGCTAGGCCCTGTATGATGAAGCCGACACCAGCTCATGGCTGCTTAAGCGCTACACCCTTCTCTTGATTTGTGAGGCCGAAGCCCTTTCTTAGGATTCAGAGCTTGATCTGTGTAAGTAGGGCTTAGGGGAACCTTGAGCCCTTGTTATCTAAGGGTAGTTGCACGGGCCCTTAATATGGTCCTTACCTCGCTTAAAGGGTTCTGAAGTATGGGCCCTTGGGTTGTGCAGGGTATATAAGGGGTAAAGAAGGGGTCCCTTTTTTTAAGGGCCCATACTAAGGGACCATGAAACCACCCCTAAATCCTAAACCCGCAAGCCATTTTTTTTGCACACAGGTTTGGCAACCTCACGGCCAACACCTCCGTGCTTGACGTCGCCGCGAACTGCGCTGAGCAGGTGCCGTTTTGGCTCACATACTTGCCTCAGCGCCTCGGGCATGGATGAAGGGGCTCGGATCGGTTTAGGGTTTAGAGGGTTTATGTTTATGGGGGTTATAGGGTTGTTACAGGTTTTATAGGGTTGTTTGAGAGCTTATAGGGTTCATGGGGCAGGGCTTATGGGGTTGTTACAGGGTTCACAGGCTGCACAGGGTGTATCGGTTTTTGTTGTGTTTATAGGCTTTGCAGGGTTTATAGGGTTTATAGGGTTGTTATAGGGTTTATAGGGTTATGAGGTTTATAGGGTTTACAGGGTGTTACAGGGTTTGTAGGTTTTATAGGCTTTTTGGGGTTTATAGGGTTTGTGGGGTTCACAGGATTTATAAGGTTTGTACGGTGTGTAGGCTTTAAGGTTTCTCGGTTGAGGGTCTGGTTTGTGGTATGGGGCATTTAGCCACGGAGGCGGCGCTCGGTTTTAGGGGTGTGGAGTGTGCCCCTGTGTTGGGTGGGTTTCAATTCTTCCGGGTTTGGGGTGTAGGGCATTTGGGGTTTAGGGTTTTAGGGCTTAGGGTTTAGGGTTTAGGGTTAATAGGGGCATTCCGGCTTGGGGGGAGGGAGCAAGGCCCTGATTCACAGCAGGCCAGACAGGATTTATATAGGGCTTCCGGGGTTCAGGGTTTCGGTGGTTTCAGGGTTTTAGGACCCTAAACCCTAAACCCTAAACCCTAAACCCTAAACCCTAAACCCTAAACCCTAAACCCTAAACCCTAAACCCTAAACCCTAAACCCTAAACCCTAAACCCTAAACCGAACTGGCCCCGTACGATGGGGGTGGCAGACAGCGGGGAGCTCTGGACTCCTTGTTGGCCGGGAGAGTCGAGGAATGCAAAGCCCGGCTCTGTCCCTTTGCTGTGTGCTCTGGACCAGTCCGCCCTGGACTCGGGAAGCTGGGTCCTTGCGAGCGAGATGCACTTCGAAAACCCTCCGCCCTTGGCGAGTTTCTCCCAACAGGGCTCCAGACCCAGGGGAGGACAGACAAGAATCATGGACCCCCGCTGGGTTTCCGTGCTCATGCACCGCATCAAGGAGCACGAGCCGGTCATGGAAGCTCGAAAGAAGCCCTCCAGCAACCATCAGGGCCCGGGGCCTTCGACCGAGGAAAAACCGGACAAACCCAGAGGCCACCAAAGGGGGGAGGGTGCGGAAAGACCGAAGACAAGGCCCAGCCTCACACTGGCCGCCCTCCTTCCCTGCAATAGCCAATAGTCGAACTGTATGCTTTTTTGGGTTTCCGTAGTTAGTAGGAAGTGTAGAAGTTTAACCTTTTGTTTCCCGTGGTTCTTGGAGAAGTATGAGAATCTTCAGTGTTTGACCAGCCTAGCACTGGGTGGGAGGGGGGGGGACAGGGAGAGCAACCCTACACCCCCGTGGAAGCCATTACCCTGAACCCGAAATTCGTAGTGCTGGGTAGGCTGTTGGGGATTTTTTTTGTATTTCGTATAGGTTTTGAGAGAATCATCTTCAACCCTACATCCGAAACCTGGTTGTAAGGGTCAACCTGGGCATGAGTCGGTCGGTAGAATCGATCTTCGGTTCGGTTTAGGGTGTAGGGTGTAGGGTTTAGGGTGTAGGGTGTAGGGTTTAGGGTTTAGGGTTTAGGGTTTAGGGTTAGGGTTTAGGGTTTAGGGTTTAGGGTTTAGGGTTTAGGGCTTAGGGTTTAGGGTTTAGGGTTTAGGGTTTTGGGTTTTGGGTTTTGGGTTTAGGGTTTAGGGTTTAGGGTTGCAAGTGCATGGGATTCAAAGATGAAAACTTCATGGTGCTGTTGATTTGGAAGATGCGAGCGCTAGTGTTCCAGGGTTGCTACTATCTGCTCACCAACCGCCCCCCCCCCCCCCAAAAAAAAATAAAAAAATGAGAATCCCTGTACTGCCCTTATAAGGAAGCATGATTTTGGGGGTGTTTCTTAAGATAGCTTGTCAAGGTTTAGGGGCATGTCAGAGACGATGGGCGCAGCACCAACGAACTCTGTCGAACCTCATTGACACCCTACACCCCAAAAACCCTATTCCGCATCAGCCCCTCCCCTAAACCCCAAACCCTAAACCCCAAACCCGAAGCCCTAAACCCTAAACCCTCGAAACCTTCAGGTGGAAGGACGATGATCCACCCAACAACCGAGATGAGAACTTCACATTTTGCCCCGAGAGGGTTGGGCGCGTCGCGAAGCGAGGGCTCATGGTGGGTGGCTACAACCTGGTTCTCATGGGCCACTCGTTGAGAGTAGGTAGTTTTGAAGTGCCTGTACTTTTGGTGGGTGGCTACAGCCTGGTTTTCATGGGCCACGCGCGTTGTGAGGGTAAGTAGTTGTAATGGTGGGTGGCTACAACCTGGTGCTCATGGAGGCCATTCGTTGAGAGTAAGTAGTTTGGATGAGGTGCCTATACTTAGACCCTATCGGACTTTGTTAGGGCTGCAGGTGTGTGAGTGTGAGCGTGTATTTTTCTCTCTCTCTCTCTCTCTCTGTTGGACTTCGGTTTGCGCGTCGGGTACCTTGAGCCCCCATGGTTTCCATTTTTCCCTTGGTTCCTTCTCCATAGCTTTTAGTACACTGGGAATGCTCAGTAGTAGGGTTCAGTGGCGGGGGTTTCTTCGCCCTAAACCTTAACTAAACCCCCTAAAACCCTAAACCTTATTTTGGTTGGTGGTCTCATTAAGTAGGTTTCTGTTTTGAAGGGGGTCTTATTACGGTATCTAGGGGCTCTATGAAGGTATAAGGGGAGCAGATAAAGAGACCACCAGCTTTTCTAACCTAAACCCTAAAATCCTGTGGCTAAGGCCGCCTCTCTCTGAAGCGTCGGAAGTGGGTGACGTCGGACTCACCCATCTTCTCGAATCTTGGCTCCCAAGGCACCATAGTAAGTACAGAATTTCGTAACCATAGGGTTTAGGGTTTAGGGTTTAGGGCCATACTTAGGGGCTGGGTTGTTAGCCTTTAACCTCTTCGGTTATCTATCATCCTGTTACAATGAAAAGGTTGAGCTTTTGGGCTAGGATATTCAGCCCGTAATTATGTATATGATTCTTTCTGGAACTTCCAAAACCCTAAAACCCCAAAACCCCAAAACCCCAAAATCCCAAAACCCCAAAACCCCAAAACCCCAAAACCCCAAAACCCCAAAACCCCAAAACCCCAAAACCCCAAAACCCCAAAACCCAAACCCTAAACCGCAAGCCCCCTCCCCTCTAAACCCTATTATCCCTGGCCCTGTAGTTGAAGCTCGTAACAGACTTAACCCAGGAATGCCTACCCGCGGAAAATGCCATACCGCAAGACGGATGCATTCAGCCAAAGGCCCGCGGAGGCCCATTTTTGGAATTTGCTGTTTAGGGATTTGGGATTTCGGGTTTGGGGTTTGCAGGGTTTCGGGTTTGAACGTTTAAGACATTCTGATAAAGCCCAATTCTGCTTAGGTTTTCCTAAAAGGGGTTTTAGAAGGGTTATTGGGGTATTATACAGGGTTTCTCTAAGGTTTTATATGGCTTAGGGAATCCGAACTACTAAGCCACGATCCTCAGCGGTGCTTCAGACTTGTCGTCTCTTCGTTACCGTTAAGCAAAGTCGGCTTTCGAGGGTTTAGAGTTTAGGGTTTAGGGTTCAGGAGGGTTCAGGGTTTAGGGATTGCAGTAGGGTTTAGGGTTTAGGGTGTCGGGCTTAAGCATAACAACAGTAGGAGGAGGAATGAAGAAGAGGAAAAGCAAGAAGAAGAGCCGTTAGCAAGCACAACGGCTGTAGTGTTGAGTGCCCTAAACCCCTAAACCCTGAACCCTAAACCCTAAACCCTAAACTTTAAACAGGAGGACATGGCATCCTTCGGCCAGAATACGGTCTACAACTACCAGAGGAACGCCGGCTTTAGGCGGGCGGGGGCCTTTGTGGAGATCCTAAACTTCGACGGGCCCAAGCACGTCATCCTCAACAAGTGGCCTGAGCTGCTGTTTAGGGTTTATGGGTTTAGGGTTTAGGGTTTAGGGATGTTTAGGGCTTAGGGTTTAGGGGGTTTAAGGAATAACAGGCCCAGCTGGGCACTTCTCAGAAAAAAAGGCCCCCGGAAAAAAAAAAAAAAAAAACAACTCAAGCCTAAGCTTAAACGGTATAAGGAGGGACTTCCCTTTATAACCCTTACATAGTCCCTATATACCTTAGTGGCCCTAAACAATCCCCAAAAACCCCCAAGATCCCTTACCAGGGTCCCTCCTTTAGTCCCCTTGATAACCCTAAACCTTAAACCCTAAACCCTAAACCCTAAACCCTAAACCCTGACACTCAGGATTGCCGCTCTGCGGCGTGAGGGATGGTTCAACCTGCAACAAGGATCCTTAGAAACTTGGCTTAAGGTTTAGGGTTTAGGGTTTAGGGTTTAGGGATTAGGGATTAGGGATTAGGGTTTAGGATTAGGGTTTAGGGTTTAGGGCCTAGTGGTGCCCTTTTGCCCTTTTCTGGTTCAAGGTCTGTCAGGCTCCCTTACAAAATAACCAACCCTCAAAAAGCGTACCCTTATCATAATACGGTTACCAAGGTCCCTTACTTATAATGTCACCAACCCCAAAAAGCCTACTCTTATCATAATGTGGTCACCAAGGTAGCCGAGTTGCTGGTGTGGAACGGCAATGTTGAGCGCTTGCTGCACACGGCCATTGTCTTCGAGCATGACTTCAGCGGCAAGACGCAGACTCAGGTCCTCGTGAGTAGCCTCGCTTTCAACATCCATGACACGAACTCCGTGTCAACCTACTTCCTCTTCTTCCTCTACCTGGTGATCATTGTGTGCTTCGTCTTCTTCTTCCGCGCCCAGATCGAGGACATCTCAGCTGACTATCGCGCATACCTCTCCGAGCCCATGGGCTACATCAAGCTGGCACTCTTCTGCCTTTGCTTCTATTGCATCATGCAGTACTTCACCATCGTCTTCTCCTACACTTTCCTGAGCCTTTGCAACAACTGGCAGCCTAACCCTAAGCCCTAAGCCCTAAGCCCTAAGCCCTAAACCCTAAACCCTAAACCCTAAACCCTAAACCTTAGATGCCCTGAAGCCCGAGCCCAGAGCTCCCAGAGGCTGCAGCCTTCAATAGATCCCCCTGAGCCCTTTCTAGGACCGAGTAGGCCCTTTTTTTTCTTTTTGTTAGGGTTTAGGGTTTAGGGTTTAGGGTTTAGGGTTTAGGGTTTAGGGTTTAGGGTTTAGGGTTTAGGGGTTAGATCCCCTTAAAACCAAAAAGGGCGCCCTTGTTATTCCTAGGTTACTCCCGGGTCTAGCTGTAATCTCAAGCCAGGAGGCTCCAATCTCAAGCTTGAACCCTACAACACTCCTAGACCCTAAACCCCAAAACCATCCAACATCTGAAGCCCTAAAACCCTAAAACCCTAAAACCCTAAAACCCTAAAACCCTAAAACCCTAAAACCCTAAAACCCCAAAACCCTAAAACCCTAAACCCTTAAAACCCTAAACCCTAAACCTTTCTGAGCCCGAAGCCTGGAAAAAAAACTCAAGCCCTAACCTATTAACCCTTCGTCCGACAACCCTAACCAAAATCCCACCCCAGGGCCCCTAAACCCTTGCTGCTTTAAACCCATGAAGGGTTTAGGGTTTAGGGTTTAGGGTTTAGGGTTTAGGGTGTAGGGTTTAGGGTTTAGGGTTTAGGGTAAGACCTAAACCCTAAACCCTCGTGGCTTCAAGCCCGAAAGCCCTAAACCTTGCAGAACGGTTCAGCTCAAGGAACTTTCGGCTGCCGATGAAAACGTCGGACTTCCAGGAAGTGGCGGAGCCCTGGCATGTTTTTTAATTTCTTTTATGCCCCTGTTTGCTGAAGGAACCTCCCCCCTCCAAAAACCAAAATACAGAATGATACTTGTTTCTTAGGGTTTTGCCAGTGTTGCTTCAGAACATCCCCTCAAAAGAAAAGAGCATGATATTGCGGTTCAGAGTTCAGGTTTGAGGGTTCTGCTTTATGTTCAGGGTTTTTCGGGTTCAGGGTTTTGGGATTGAGGGTTTAAAATTAAAACCCTTATACCTTTTTTCAGGGCTACAGTCCATAAAACCCACATACCTTTCCTTGCCAGGATTTTACGACGATAACATCTGGGTTATGGGGTTCCCTAGGTAGGGGCTTACCACCTCAGGAACCATCCTAGACCCTAAACCCTAAACCCTAAACTTAAACCCTAAACCCTAAACCCTAAACCCTAAACCCTAAACCCTAAACCCGAATACTTGGAAGCTTGTGAGTTCGTGCATTCTGGCCTCGAGACAATCGACCCATAGGCCTGAAACCTTCAAGAAGATCGTTCTAAAAGAACAGCCGGCACTCGCAGTATGCGCAAACACGATCTCACATATTAAGTGCAGGGTTTAGGGTTTAGGGTTTAGGGTTTAGGGTTTAGGGTTTAGGGTTTAGGGTTTAGGGTTTAGGGTTTAGGGTATATACATATTGTAAATATGGACTTTCAAAGGTACGTGTCTTTGTGGATATCTTCCCTTGGCTCTTCAAGAACAGTTCAGCCCCTGACGTGCATCTGAAACCCTGCAACCCTCGAATCCTCAAACGCCCGAAAGCCACGACCAGGGAGTCTTGGGCTGACGGTTGTTTACCCTTACCCCTAGGGTTTTGGGCCCAAAACTCTCAGGACAGTCTCAGTGCTACGGGTAAACTCCAAACCTTACACCCCCAACCCTAAATCCCAAACCCTAAAACCTAGACCCGAAATCCCTAAACCCTAATCCCTAAACCCTAAACTTCCCTGACGCCCTGGAGTCTGAGGAGCTCACGATGAACAACGAGGACCTGAAGGTGGCCGTCTCCGTTACCACCTGCCTCCTTTTCGTGCAGGTCACCGGGATCCACCCATTTTTCCGAGGGGGGGGGGGGGGGGGTTAGGGTTTGGGGTTTAGGGTGTAGGGTGTAGGGTGTAGGGTTTAGGGTTCAGGGTTCAGGGTTCAGGGTTCAGGGTTTAGGCAGGGTTCAGGGTTCAGGGTTTAGGGTTTAGCGTTTAAGTAGAAGGTTTAGAAGGTTTAGGGTTTTGGGGGTTTAAGGTTTAGGGCTTAGGGTTTGGGAGTGCCGAGGAGGGTCTGAGTCGGAGGGGTTTAGGGCCGGTTTGGGGCACCCTAAACCCTAAACCCTAAAACCTGCCCTAAACCCTAAATCCTAAACGGTTTAGGGCCTGATTCGGGTCGGAGAGGGTTGGGGGCTAGCAGGGCTCAGGGCTCAGAGCAGGTCGGCTGGACTTCAGGGTGTGGGACTCTAGGGTTTAGGGTTTAGGGTTTAGGGTTTAGGGCTAAAACCTAGAGCCGCTACCCCGAATAAGCCCTAGACGCAAGACCCTAAACTCACCCACGTTCAAGAAGCAAAGCCCTAAACCCGAAACCCTAAACCCTACACCCTACACCCTACACCCTCAACCCTAAACCCTAAACCCGAAACCCTAGCCACAGCCTCCCCAGCCTCAGGCAATCGCGGAGTGCTGCACCCTGATCCCACAACTCCAGCTTCTGGTGCACTCCATGAGCGTCATGAAGGCACGGTTTAGGGTTTAGGGTTTAGTGGGTTTA